TGGTCCCGGTACCAGGGAGAAAAACTCAGATTTGTGACCAGTGGCACTGAAACATGCCTGCCTGCAGTGTTAAAAGGAAACAACTCAGCTCTTCAGCTTCAGCTGATTGATACATTGGAAGAATGTGATGGGGTCTGCTGACTTTTTAAAAGAGAAGCCAAAAATCTGGATTAAAGTCTAATCCGTTTTCAAATATTCGCAATTAATTCAAATTAAAAAATTGAAAACGTCATGTGGGCCAAACTAAACACACGTGCAAGGCCAAATGTAGCTGGAGGGTTCTAGCCTGAAGAGTTTGATAGCATATATGGTCGCTATGAGTTGGAATCGACTCTTGGGCAAGGGGTTTGTTTTTTGTTTATTTTTAGAAATTGGAGCATATTGCTACAAAAATTTATTTTCATTTGGAAGATAAAATTTACCACGTAAATTTGTGATGGGACATGATGCAATAGAGAAGTTTTTTGGAGCCGAAAAACCAGGTTTGAGCTTTAACACTTACGTACTGTGCAACTTTAAATCACTTAAACTCTCTGTTGCTAAATCTTCATATCTGTTCTGTCTACCTCACTAGTTTTGGGGATTAAATAAGGTAATAATGTCTTTGACTTTTTTTTTTTACATACAGTATTATTAGTTTAAATAAGAGCCTCTACTACCTGGGAAGGAGCCCTGGTGGCGCAGTGGTTAAGAGCTTGGCTGCTAACCAAAAGGTCAGTGGTTCGAATCCACCAGCAGCTCTTTGGAAACCCTATGGGGGCAGTTCTACTCTATCCTATAGGGTCTCTCTGAGTAGGAATCAACTCGACAGCAACAGGTACTAGCTGGGAGGGGGGAAGTATACTTAATATGATAAACTTGTTAGAAAATTATTTTTGAAGTCATAGAAATTAGTGCCTTCTTGAGAAAAAAATCCGTAAGTTACAGAGATAGAGTTATACCAATTTGTAGCTATACCAGATAATTCTGATGTGTTTTTTTTAGGAAGTTTTTTAGTTTGGGAACACTACTTTATAATAGTCTTGTGAACATAGATTCTAAGTGAGGATAGTCCAATTTCTGTCTAAGCGGAATTCCCAAGATACTTCGGAGCATGTGATGATATTTTTAAACAACAAAATGTATGTTAGGTATTCAAGAGGATAACATTTATTGTCACAGCCTTACACTTCTATATTATGGAGCATTTGGTAGGGAGACTACCAATATGGAGGTCTACTTTGGCTAATATAGGATGAGGGATTGAGGAATGGAGGGAGGGGGTATTTAGAGATGGGGGCCAAGTTATGAAAGGTCTTTTTTGCTATGCTAAGCCATAGGGAGTAATTGAAGTGTTTTTTTTTTTTTCTAGCTTGAGTGGCATTTTCAATTTGGTACATTTTGAAAGCATCTACTGCGGGTCAGTCACTGTGAAAGATGTTTTCCCATAAATGATAAATTTATGCTTTAGAAAGAGAACTCCTCTGGTGCAATACAGAAGGATGGATTAGAGAGGGAAGAGACTGAAGGCAGGAAGACCAATAGTGAGATAACAGCAAAGATCTATATCAGTGATTCTCAAAGAGTGGTAGCAGCTCAGATCACCTGGGAATTTGTTAGAAATTTGTATTCTCAAGCACCACCCTAGACCTAAGGGGTGGGGCCCAGCAATATGTGTCTTAACAAGCCCTCCAAGTGATTCTCCTAAAGTTTGATGTACTCTAAAGTCTGAGAACCACTTATCTGTATCAATAGTTCTCAAATTCATAAGAATCATCTGGAGAGGTTATTAAAAATGCAGGTTCCAGAAGCCTACAAATCTTTTTTTAAAAAGCTTCACAGGTAATTCTGATAATCAGCCTGGTGTGGATTTAGTGACCTAAATGAAAAATAGGACAGTGATGATGAAAATAGAGGGATCAAATAGAAAAGATATTCCTAAGATACTGCAATTCCTCTAGAACTATATTAGGCCATGATGATATAAAATTAAATAAAGCAGTTACTGCTCTGAAGGAACTTTCTAGTGGGAGAAGAGAAGGGCACCTGTTTGGGATGAAAACGTAGTTAACATTTGAGAAAAGTAGCATTTCAGAAAAATAGATATGAAGCTCAAGAGTCTTGAGGCTTGGAGGTGGTAAGTGGTGCCACATGCTCCAAATGGATAACAAAAGGTGAAGATGAAGAGAGGATTAGATTTGGCAATTTGGATGATTTTATAACCCTTGCGATGGCAATTTTTTGGAGTGGGAATCTGTGGAAAGGTAAGCAGAATTCATAATGCTGCTTGTTGGCTTGATTAAAAGAAACTTTTTCAATTTCGTAGTGATAGAGATTTGTTAGGGAGCTCTGGTGGCACAGTGGTTAAGTGTTTGGCTGCTAACCAAAAGGGTCAGCAGTTAGAATCCACCAGCAACTCCTTGGAAACCCTATTGGGCAGTTCTACCTTGTCCTATAGGGTTGCTATGAGTTGGAATCGACTCAAGAGATTTGTTGGGGAGAGGAGAGATTGTTTGCTAAAGCTATGTGTACCAAAGTCATCCCCTCCCCAACTGTTTACATATAAAGATTGCCCTTGGGTTTGTGACCCTAGACTATATCTACAGAATCTAGTTATAGGTTTTTTTTGTGCTTCCATGCTTTTGACTACAGACTGCTCTGGAAATTTCATTTTTGATTGTTGAGCTCTAAGTTTTTATGTTTGCTTCTTTCATATCTAAGAAGTTCTTAAGTATGCTGCATTGTTTTCTGCTGCTTAAATATCCTTGAAGTGTAATTTTTGATGACGCTATTCTTGTTAGTATATGTCTTAGTTATCTAGTGCTGCTGTAACAAAAATATCACAAGTGGGTGGCTTTACCAAGCAGAAATTTATTTTCTCACAGTTTAGGAGGCTAGAAGTCCGAATTCAGGGCACCAGCTCTAGGAGAAGGTTATCTTTCTCCATGGGCTCCGGGGGAATGCCCTTATCTCTCTTTAGCTTCTGAGCAATGGCTTGGTGATCTTCATGTGGCATCACATCTATTTTCTCCCAACTGTGCTTCCTCGATTCCTTGCTTAATCTGCTCCTTTTTATATCTCAAAAGATACAAAACACGCAAAACACACCCTACGCTAAGATTGTTTCATTAATATAACAAGGAAACCCCATTCCCAGATGGAATTATAACCACAGGTATATTCATTGCCATGGAGTTGATTCCAACTCTTAGCGATCCTATAGGACAGAGTAGAACTGCCCCATAGGCTGTAATCTTTACGGAAGCAGGCTGCCACATCTTTCTCCCGAGGTGCCGCTGGTTTCTAATGGCCGACCTTTCGTTTAGCAGCCAATCCCTTTACCCAGTGCGCCACCTACTGTGCCACCAGGGCTCCTTAAACCGCAGGTATAGGGGTTAGGATTTACAATACGTATTTTTGGGGAACCCAATTCAATCCATAACAGTATATTTGTCATATTGCATATTAGGTTTTAAATGAAGAAAGTTCTGAGGTATTAATTTGGAAAAATTACTGAATTTACATGGCTTTTATTTTAAAGCAAAGGGCAAAACTAAAATTAAAACAAAACAAAACAAACAAACAAAAAAAAACTCCACCTAACCTGTGCTGCTGTAGAGTCGATTCTAACCTACGGAAGCGTCATGTGAGGAGCCTGGGTGGCGCGAGCAGTTTGTGATCAGCTGCTAACCTAAAGGTTGGCAGTTTGAACCTACCCAGTGGCTCCTCAGAAGAAAGGCCTGGCAAACTGCTTCCATAAAGATTGCAGCCAAGCAAACCCTGTGGAGAAGCTCTACTCTGTAACACATGAGGTTGCCAAAACTAAAATAGCCAAATGAAAATTCCTATTTAAAAATTTTTTTCAAGTTAATAAATCTTAGTACATGACTTGAGTTAGTAAACGATATTATTCCCCAGTGATCTTGGTTTGCTAACAAGAGGCTTCCAGTCTTGAGCCCTTGACACTACCTTAGGCACATTAGTCAATTTTCTAAGCCTCATTTCTTCAGCAGTAAAACACATGGTTTTTGAAAGAATTCGACATATAGGTGAATGTTCTCAGAAAACAGTGAAGGGCTACCCAAACGTTGTTTACTGTTGGTGTAGTGGTGAAGAGGGGGCGGTAGTGGTTGAGTGATAGAATTCTTGCCTTCCATGCCAGAGACCAGAGTTTGATTCCTGGCCAATGCACCTTATGGGCAGCTGCTACCCGTCTGTCATTGGAGGCTTATGTGTTGCTGTAACGCTGAACAAGTTTCTGCACAAATTGATCTTTTAAATGACCGTACCTGTTTACACTCCTATCAGCAGCGTAAGGTTTCACATGTTCATTAACCCTTGATAGTTTTAACTTTTGTCACTGTTGGATGAAAAGTCCTTTAACCCGTCTCTCTCTTCAGTGTTGCCTTTCTAAGTCCACATTTCTTAGGGTGGCAGTGTGTCATTGCCTGGAACTTGGAGCGTGCTCAGTGAATACTCATTGAATGATGTCATTTCCCTGCTTAACATCCTTTAATGCCTGTCCAAGTCCTCAGGAGATGCCCCCTTTCTGAGATTCCAGTAATCACTTATTAGTCTTTATATCCCTAGAACCTAACAGAGGGTTTGGAAAATATCTTGCAGGAGGCTCTAAATCAGTGTTTTTTGAATTAATGAATAACTACATAAGATAAAGCCTACCCCTCTACGATGCACACATTTCCATCATTGCACTTATCACACCAAATCAGAATTTATTTATTACATGTACACGCAGGTACATGTGACGTCCGTTGCTTCAGCGTCTGCATCAATGCCTGACACAGAGAAGACACCAGACATATTTTTAGAATTGAACCGTAGAACCCAATCAAACTTGCAAGCGCTTAAAGAAAAATACAAAGGCACATGCGCAGTTATGCGGTAAGGTCATCCAATCACTGGCTGGCTGGACCCGGCGCTATGGCGAGGAGGTAGTGCGCAAGCGTGACAGGCTCGCCGCGGTTGGCTGCGCCGAGAGGCGGGAGCCTTGATCTCTTCCGGCGGTGAGGGAATCGCTGCTTACCGTGGTTGGTCTTCGCTGGACGCGCGTCCTGTGTAGACTTCTCGTCCGTGCGTCTCTAGAGAAGAGGGCTTGCGAGGTTGCGACAGCCTGTAGGCTCGTGGCAGACAAAGCGGCGAGAGCCGCCGGGACCAGCCCTCCAAGGAAGAAGGAAGGTAGGCTGTGGGACGCGGACTTGGCCGCCTTACCTGTTGGGAACCGCCATCCGAGATGAGAGGGACGCTCTCGCTGCTGGCCCGGGAGGTGGCTTCTAGCGGACGGTGGGAGGCCAACGAGAGAGGAGAGTCCGGACAGGGGGCCGGTGTGCGCAGGGTCCTGCGGAGTTTGAGTTTGTTTCACCCAAGACTAATCTACACTCCGCACTGTGAAGCCAGTTCCCCGGGGCCTAGAGGTGAGGATCTGTGAGCGCCCTGGATTTTAACAGTCACGAAAACAATGTCTAAGAACCAGCGCCTTCTCTAGGGGCTTTTACCTCTTGACTGGTCAGTCCCCCCCCCCCTTTTAATCAATTTATGGAAGAGTTTGTAGGCAGGTATAGTGGGACCAACATGTCAAAGGACCAGCTTAAGCCATGAAGTGATATAACTCCTATCGATTATAGTTGCAAAGTGAAAAGCAGAAGCAGCAGGGGAGGTCTGCTTCTACTTTTTGGTAGAGTTGTTGTTTTCTTTACATTCTTGCATTTTACGAGTGAGATTGTTGCACTCCCCTTTGCCTTCTAAAGCCCAAGTGAACCCGTAGTTTCTGGTCCCCTTTGTTGAACTACATTCTTTATCCGCACCCTCTCCCCCTCTCCCACCAGGACATTCATCATCTCTACTCTCACAGTACCTTAGATACTAAACACCCAATAATCATAACTATAGATGGTAATATTACAGATAACCTTGAGTGCTTACTGTTTCTTTTAAGTGCTTTACATATAGCATACGTATCCATATCATAACCCTCCCAACAATCCTATGAGTAAGGATGATTATTGAATCTCCTTCTAAAGATGAGGAAACTGAGACACAAAGAGGTTAAGTAAACTGTCCAAGATCGCATGCTAGGAAGCGTCAGTCCAGATTTATATTCCGACATTTGCCTCCAAAGCCTTGCTCTTATTTATTCTACTGTTATTTTCGAGTACTTTAGGCTTTCTGATGTTTTCCACCTGTCAGCCTGGTCGTGCCGTTTTCCTTGGGAGGACAGAAGCAGGTGAACAGTAGTATAGAAGTTGTAGTATAACAACAGGGTTGCCAAATGGGCTATTTCTAGGACCTGGGAAAGGGGCCTAAATAGCAGGGTTTAAAAAGCAGTAAGGGTGAATGTGAATAATGTCACTGAATTATACACTTAAGAGTGATTGAAACGGCAAATTTTTCTGTGATACATATTTTAGCACAGTAATTTTAAAAAGGCAGTAAGGGTGCTGAAGTATTTAAGGGGAAATGTACTGATGTCTGCAGTTTACTTTGAAATGTGTCAACAAATTAAGATAAATTGATGGATGGCAAGGTCATACATATAGCTAGTAAGTGGCAGAGCTAGAATTCAAGCCCAGGTAGGCTGGCTCCAGAGTCTTATTTTCTCAGCCATTTCTCTGTACTGTGCATATGCCTACATTCTCAAATTCATTATTTTTTATTATTAGTTTACAGGATAAGTGGAGGGTAGAAAAATTATAAATCATGCATTAGGTGTAGAAGGATCTAGGATGGTGATTTAGTGTTGAAAGAAATCTTAGCCATCTAGTCCATTCACTTTTTACCAATGAGGAAACCGAGGTCCACAAAGTTTAAAATAGCTTGTTCAAAGTTGAGCATCCCTTAGGCAGCAGAATCAGAACTAAACTCAGGTTTCCTTCATTTCTGCTATTGATTTTTTCTAGCTGCTCTGTTTTTCTAGTGTTCTTAAAAAGGTGTGAACCAAAAATTTCACAGTATTTTAGGGGGATCCGACCAATGCAAAGTATAGAACCTATCTGATGATGCAGACATCGTATTTTTATTAATGCTATGTAGAAATTGCTAGTTTAAGTAGGCTCACCATCTTGTTACTTCAGTTGAACTACAGTTAACTAAAAACCTGAATCTTTCATTTGAACTGCCCCTTGTTCTATTTCATTTGACCATTAAGTAACGGAGTCTAAATGCGAGGCCTAACATTTACCTCTTTAATTTTGCTGTAGTTAGCATGCATCATTTTCATATTTGTGTCAGTTACACACCTGGAGACTTGTAGTATTCTCCTGAGCTATTTCAAAAACGAAATGAGGTTATTTTGGCATGACTTGTTTGGACAAAATTTGTATTGACATCAGGTATTGGTAAATACCATTTCTGAAGTGGTCATAAACCATCTTTTTTATAATTTGCTGTAAGATGGTGCTAATAGAGATCAAGTATTTTGCAGCGATTGTCTTTCACTTCTAATCCCTCAGATTATATAAAGGTCTGTTAAATATCAAATAACTTGTGTATTTCATCATTTTAACATCTCTGAAATTTAGAAATGTCCAATAGTAGATGGGATGTCACAGTTTTAATTGGTTGCTTTTTTTTTTTCTTTCTTTCTTTCTTCGATACATAAAATAACGTTGTTGTTGTTAGGTGCTGTCGAGTCAGTTCCCACTCATAGCCACCCTGTGTACAACGTAACGAAACACTACCCGGTCCTGCACCATCCTCATAATCCTTCTTATGTTTGAGCCCGTTGTTGCAGCCACTGTGTCAGTCCATCTCGTTGAGGGTCATCCTCTTCTCTACTTTACCAAGGCTGATGTCCTTCTCCAGGGGCTGATCCCACCTGATAACCTGTCCAAGTTATGTGAGGTGAAGTCTCTCCATCCTTGCTTCTAAGGAGCATTCTGACTGTACTTCTTCCAAGACAGATTTGTTCATTCTTTTGGCATTCCATGGTATATTCAGTATTCTTTGCTAACACCACAATTCAAAGACACCAACTCTTCTGTCTTCCTTATCAACGTCCAGCTTTCTCATGCATATGAGGCAATTGACAACACCATGGCATGGGTGAGGCGCACCTTAGTCTTCAAGGTGACATCTTTGCTTTTCAACACTTTAAAGAGGTCTTTTGCAGTAGATTTGCCCAATGCAATGGTAATTGAAAAAATCTAATTAGTGCTACTTTCCCTGTTACAAAGATATCATTTCCATTGTAGAAAATATGAAATATGTAGAAAAGAACTCAGCAGAAAATAAAAATTACTGGTACTTCTAATACCCAGAGATGATCAGTATTAAATTTGTGGCATATGTCTTTGCAGTCTTTTAAAAAAATCCACTTTATGGAATCATACAGAAGTATGATTTACAGTGTACATTTCAATGTGTACACTTTGATGAGTTTTCACAAATGTATGCAAATCCCTGTAACCACTAGTATGATCATGATATAGAACATTTCTATCGCCACAAAACTTCCCTCACACCCCTTTGCTTTGTAGTCTTTTCAGAGGACATACACACATACTGGTTTATGTCCTTTTTTTCTTTATTTAAATAAAATTGGAAAATGCTGAACATGTTTTCTTGTATTCATTTTTTATTTGATATAAGAAGAATATTTTCCCATGTCATTAAACACTCTTCTAAAGAGTTTTTTTTCCCCTTTAATAGCTGCAGAATCATTTATATAACAAATATTGAATACCTTCTATGTGTTTAGTACTAGCGGTATAGTGATGAATGGAATAGAATACTTTGTGCTTGATCCAGAAGTTTACAGCTTGGGAGAAACAATAGGCATTTTTATTACACTATGAAAGCCTTTGGGTTGTGCATGCATAAGAAGGGCCCCTAATCCAGTCTTTGGGAGGAGGTGGGGAGGACTCGTAGTTAAGAGTCCTAAAGAATAAGGTGGAATTAATCAGGCAAAGAAAAATGGCAAAGGACATTCCCAACATTTGTATAGGGGAAAGTTTGTTCAAAGGCCTAGAGAAGAGAACCTGCCTAGCTTGGGGAACTGCAGTACTAACGCATAGAGTTTTAGTGGTATATGCACAGAGTGTATTCTATTGTGTGGGTATTAACTAGTACCTCATTATGGACGTTGGGTTTCCATCTGTCTCACCTGTCCAGTCCTGGTGGAAGTAGTATTGAGCAAAAATCAGAAAACCTGGTTCTGGTATCTTGATGTATATAAAAAATATTCTATTGTTTTAAAAGGAAATAGAGTAGTAAAAAACAATTGAATTGCCAGGATTTCAAACATTCATTTAAAAAATGTTTGTTAGTAGTGGTAATGTGTCTGGTGGTGTGGTTGGCGCAGCTTGTGGATTACTGGAATGGAGAAAAAGCTACATGCTTGATATATGTATGTGAATAATTGTGTTTCTTTAGATTTTGAAATTTTGGCTTAAATTGTTTTAAATACTATATCATGATACTAATCTTTAGTATTATGAAAACTGACATAATATGTGCTCTAGTTTATATACCCTTGAATTTGAACTGTATAAATTGGATGAAAAAGAACATCTAATTAGCTATTGAACATGTTTTCTAAGGCTTATTACAGGCTTATTCTCTTATATTTTTAAGATGTCATGGTTGTAGTGATGAGCTATTTTTATTTAGGGGGGTAATTCTGATCAGGTTAATGAATAATTTCTGTTTTTGATATTTTTCAGGTCAGTGCTGTTGATTATGAGACGATCTGTAGCACCAAGTCAGTTGCAGGGGAATCCCTTGAAGAAACCAAAATTTATACCACCAGGAAGAAGCAATGCAAGTCCAAATGAAGAGATTACAAAGCTGAGTCCAGATGTAAAATTATTTGAGGTAAAAAAAAAAAAAAAAAAAGCATAATGTAGAGAAGTAGGTATTAAAAAAAAATACCATTGAAACAGTTACAATACTTATTGCCCGTAGGAGTTTTCAGTATCTCTGACAAAATCTTCTAAAAACCTTAGAAAGATTAAATAATTTTTTTTAAAATATGTGACATGTAGTTGGGTCTATAAATTATACTTATGGTAACTGTAAATAAATACCTCTGTGAGGGAAGGGGAAATAATTCTTGTAAATAAATTATTCTAGCCAGTATTCTTCTTCTTTTTGGGTGTATATAATTTAACCAATCCATTATTGTTGAATATTTAGGCTGTTTACAGTTTTGTCACCTATTATAAGTTATGCCATTTGGACATCTTGTTACATAAGTCTTTGGCTGATCTTTTTTATTAATTCTTTAGGATAGATTACTAGATGTGGAATTAGTCGGTTAAAGGGTATACACTTTTTTTTCCTTTGAGATAAAAAAAAAATCGTGGTAAAATACATGTAACAAAATTTACCATTTTAACCATTTTAAAGTGTACAAGTTAGTGGCATTAAGCACTTTCACAGTGTTGTACAACCATCACCACTATCTAGTTTCAGAACTTTTTAACCTGTATTCTTCTTAAAGTTATCACATAAATAAGTGGAAACTTCTGTATATATGGTGGTTTAAAGAGAAAACTTACATAGTCTTTTGAATTACTATTCCAATCATTTTCGTCTGTAAAAAACAAATACTTGAAGCAATATATTTGTTAACACTGAAAGAAAGGATTATTTTGTACTTAGAAGGTCTGTAAAATTGGTAGTACAAACTTCCTGTTACTCTATAATTATCTGGTTCATTTATGCTATGGAGCTAAAAATCTACTTATTTTTGACTCTGCTTTTTTTTGATTTGCATGTATTTGTTTTGCCCTACAATTCTTCAGTTTTCATACTTAAAACTTTCATAGGAGATTGTTAGCATTTACCAGTATGAGAATTCTGACCGTACTATGATGAGGAAACTTTTTTTTTTGTTTTTAATAAAGTTTTTAAATACCCTTATTGAGATATAATGCATATACCATACGATTCACCCATTGAGATTGTACGGTTTAGTGATTTTTTAGTATGTTCCCAGAGTTGTGTAGTCATCAGCACAGTCAGTTTTAGAATATTTTCATTACCCCACAAAGAAACCCAAACACATTAGCAGTCATTCTCTGTTTTCTCCTAACTGCCTCAGCCCTTGGCAACCACTAATTTACTTTCTGTCTCTCTGGATTTGCCAGTTCTGGACATTTCATATAAATGGAATCATACAATATGTGGTCCTTTGTAATAGGCTTCTTTCACTTAGAGTAATGTTTTCAGTATTCATCCGTGTTGTAGCATGAATTTCTTATTTTTATTGCTGAATATATTAGTTTTCTATTGCTGCTGTACCAAATTACCACAATGTAGTGGCTGAAAACAACATAAATTTATTATCTTACAGTTCTGTAGTTCAGAACTCTGACATAAAATCAAGGTGTTGGCAGGATTGCATTCTTTATGATAGGCTGTAGGAGAGGATCTGTTTCCTTACCTTTTCCAATTCTAGAGGCCACCCGTATTCGTTCGTTCATGGCTCCCCTTTTCATCTTCAAAGGTAGCAATAGCAGATTGAGTCCTCATGTTGCCATCTCTGGTTCTCTGCAGCTAGGACTCAGGTGATTAGATTGGGCTCATCTGGATAATTCAGGATAATCCGTCCATCCCATGATCCTTAACCTTAATCACACCTGCAAAGTCCCTTTGCTCTGTAGCATAACATATTTAGAGGTTCTAGAGATTAGGGTGTGGACATTTTTGCTAGCTATTATTCTGCCTACCACACTGAATAATATTCCATTGTATTGATGAACCATTTTTATTTACTAATTTATCAGTTGATGGGTGTTGGGATTGTTTCTACTTTTTGACTATTATGAATAATGCTACTGTGAATGTTCATGTAAAAGTTTTTATGTGGACAAAAGTTTTCATTTCTCTTGTGTATACCTGGGAGTAGAATCGCTAGGTGATATGGTAACTGTATGCTTATTCTTTTGAGGAACTGCCAGACTGTTTTCCAAAGTGACTACCATTTTATATTCTCACCAGTAATGTACAAGGGTACTGATTTCTCTACATCCTTACTGACGCTGGTTGTTTTCCCTTTTTTTGATTATAACCATTCTAGTGAGTAAAGTGGTATCTCATTGTGATTTTGATTTGCATTTTCCAGATGGCCAGTGATCGTGAACATCTTTACATGTGCTTATTGTCCATTTAGATATCTTCTTTGGGCAAATGTCTATTCAGATCCTTCGTCCATTTTTAATTGGGTTGTCTTTTTATTGTTGAGTATTTTTTTTATAATCCTTTTTATTTCTGTATAGTTGGTATTGATGTTCTCTCGTTTATTCTTGATTTTAGTAATTTGATTCTCCTCTTTTTTTCTTTTTATTCTTTTTATGAGTTGTAAGAGCTCTTTATATATTTTAGTTACTAGTCCCTATCAGATATATGATTTGCAAATATTTTCTCCTGTTTTGTGGGCTGTCCTTTCACCTTCTTGATGATATTATTTGCAACACAAACATTTTTAATTTTGATGAAGTCCAGTTTATTTTATATTTGTTGCTTGTGCTTTTGGTATCATAACTAAGAAGGCTTTGCCTAACCCAAGGCTATGAAGATTTACTTCTACATTTTCTTTTAAGAATTTTATAGTTTTGGCTCTTTAAGTCTTTGATCTATTCAAATTAATTTTTTATGTATGGTGTGAGGTAGGGGTTAAATTTCATTCTTTTGCATGTAGGTGTTCAGTTATCCCAGCACCGTTTGTTGAAAAGACTCTTCTTTACCCCATTGGATTGTTTTGACACCCTTGTCTTAAGGTTTGTTTTCTGATGTAGTTTCTAAGGACTAATTCCAGACCAAAACACTGATTTACTATGTTTGTTTTCCTTTTAATTGTATCAGAAAGCCTAGTAGTTATTTTACTTTCTAAAACTAATGAAGTAGGCATTTTTGAGATCATGTAACTTTTTTAGGCAAGGCAGCATGATAAGCCTAACTGTATTAGGCTTATCAGTTAATTGTATTGCCTCCTTACTTTATCTATTTCATTCTTGAAATTTTTGTTCTTAAATTATTTCTTATCTTAGATTGAATTAATCATGTTAGGAAGTGGTTATATTATTTAATGGATTACTAATCCATTAGTATATTCATTTTGATGCTCAATTTGTCCCAGATTTTGCCACGTGTATTTATCAAGTAAATAAAATAAACACCCTTGTTGTTAGCATCACAGATGCTTCAAAACAATATTGTCAGGAATTTTTATTGTATTGGCCTGATAAATACAAGTGGCAAATTGAGCCTCAAAATAAATATACTAATGGATTGTAATCCATTGAATAGTGTAGGCATCTAAGCACAGCCCTGCTGACACCTTGATTTTAGCCCAGTGATACCCTTGTTGGTCTTCTAACTTACAGAATTGTAAAATGATATATTTATGTTGTTTTAAGCCACTAAGTTTGTGATAATTTGTTATAGCAGCAGTGAAGAACATACGAAAATAGAGAAAAGAGTATATTACCAACCCCCATTTATCCATCACCCTTGCTTCAACAATCATCACCTCATGACCAATCTTGTTTCATTTCTACCTCTCCAATTCCCTCCCTAGTCCCTTCCCTACCTGTTGTTTTTATGTAAATCCAAGTAATAGCTTTTCATTTCTAAGTATTTTAGTATATATCTCTAAAATATAAGGGCTCTTTAAAAAAAAAAACCATAATGATAGCACCATTATCACACCTAAAATGGCAGTATTTAAGTGTTGATTTTATATTGAGACATTTAGCAAGAAAAAAAGGAGCAGCTGGCTATGAGAATGACATTATATGTGTTTAAAAACTCTTCTGATCTGTTTCAAGTACACAGTAATTATAAGCATCATTTTCATTCTGTCATGTCTTAAAGTTTTTAGAACATAATTAAAACTAGTTTAAAATAAACAATAAAAATTACATTTTAAATCTATTTTTATATAGTCTCTAGATATAGAGAAACTTCTGGTTCATATTTTAAATCAGGAATCTATTATGTGAAAATATGGAAATTAGATTCAATTTCTGCTTGAAATATATATTTTATTCTTTTAGGTTGCTGCAAATAAGTCACAAAATGATTCCAGAACATGTAGTTTAAGTCTTCTGCATACTGAAGGGAATGCTAGACAAATTAATCACAGGGATAATTACGGTGGAAAATATCGTTCTGAAGCATCTGTGATGCCAACACTAGATCCACCTCATACAGGTAAGACTGTGCTTTAATGATTGGATTTATACTTGGCCAATAATATTATTCTTTATATTGATTATTTTCAAGAATGAATATGTTATATTTGGATATTGTTAATGTATTAACATTAGATTGTCGGCAATTTAGATTTTTTGGGTCATGATTTACCTTTAGTGATTGGATTAATAATTATGTAATTTTAAAGTTTATAATAGCTCTATGTTTAAGAGTGTTCATTGTAAACTCTTTGGTCAAATATGATCTTTTCCTCAAGTGCCAAAATAAATTGTGTTTAAAGATTTGATTAAAAAATTTTTTTTCCAAGAAGTATGTTAATAATATTGAGAGATGAATTTTAAATGACTAATTCATTATAATCCATGGCATAACTTCAAATTAGTTAGATTTGGATTATCAAGATATAGAATTATAGGAAAACCAAGCATTTAACAAATGTTCCTGCCCTTATTCCTCCGTTGTTGAATTAACATAAGGATTATGGTTCTTTTTGTATCCGTAAGAGATCACTGTTTTTCAGGTAATTTAAAAAAAAAAAAAAGAAAGCATCACAGCTGTTTATCTATTTGGCTGTGTGAAAGGCATCATTAATTTTCAAATTATATTTATTCAGTTTTTGGCTGAACACACAGATTCAGAGAGAGAGCCCCATCTGTTGGGCTACATAATAGTAACTGCCGTCTTTTAGATACTAGTATAGATCAACAAAGTGCCTTAAGCACTTAACCCTTTAACTACTTAATTAATTTGAAGGTATTTCTTTAACTTCACGATTAATAAATTTTACCTATGAATGGGTATTATGCTGCTTGAAGCCACTGAGTTTGTGGATTTGTTACTGTAACAATAGACAGTTGATTTGTTCCTTTGTTGTGAGGCAGAAAGGAATTCTGTAATTTCCCAAGGCTGAGAGGGACTTTTGGAACTGGTTTCAGTTTTGGGAGATCTCTAGAGACAGCTCTGGGCATGGCAGTTTAGTTGCTGCCCTGTCTCACTGATTTGCTCTCTCCTTCCTTTTTTCCTCCCTTCTTCCCTCTCTTCCTCTTTTCTTCTTTTCATCCTCATTAGGGGAGTTTCCTCTTTTCCCAGGCTTTCTTCTCTATCGGCAGTCCGAGATAGTATACTCGTTTCTTTTCTGTCATGATAGCTAATCCTTCACCAAAAAATAATATTGTAGACTCTAGAATATAACACATTCTGTGTTACTGATTTTATTTTGCGCTTTATTTGTGTTCTACAGTTTCTTACTCCCTTCCTTGCTAAATAGGAGAAAGGAGTTAAGAGTTAAGATAAATTGAAGAGGGAGTTAATTTACACAACCCATAATCCCTTAATCCCTTTTCTGATTTAGTACATTCACTGGACTGAGGAACTTGTGCCAATTTCCTGATACCCTCCTGCCTCTCAGTCAGGGAATGAGGTTAATTGGGAAAAAGAACCTTGTAAGAAGCATCTTGCTTTCTATCATGGATTGCTGAGGAGGGATGTAGTGTATAGGAAAGCATGGATATAAGAGACCTATATAGTAAACACTCACTTTTTTTTTTTTTAAAAACACTCACTCACCTTTTGGCATCCTTTTAATCCTAGCTCTAATCCACCTTGAAGTGTTCAGGCCTAAGCCTGTGGCCCCATCCCCAGCCCCCACCATCTTTTATTTTGAGAAATTTCTTACATATAGAGAAGATAAAAGAATAGTCCAGTTTACATCCTAAATTCAGCAGTCGTTAACATTTAGTTATCAAATTTGCTTTCTCTCTCCGCTCTGTGGGTGTGTATATGCACATACATTTTTTTGCTAGGTTATTAGAAAATAAGTTGCAAATATCGTTCCATTTCACCCCTAAATATTTGAGCGTGTATTTCTTAAAATAAATGCCTTCTCCTGAATAACCACAATATTATTATTACACCTAAGAAGATTAACAGTAATTTATAATATTGAGTCCCTGGGTAGCACACACGATTAAGTGCTTTGGCTACTAACCGAAAGTTCAGTAGTTCAAATCCACCCAGAGGTGCCTCGGAAAAAAGCCCTGGTAATATATTTTTGAAAGGTCACAGGCATTGAAAACCCTATGTTCAATTCTACTCTGACACACATGGGCTCACCAGGAGTTGGAATTGACTCCATGGCAACTGGTTTGGTTTTTTGGTTTAATATCAGTAATACCATTTTTTGCTTAAACAAGTTTGAGTTTGGTTTCTTTGTCAAGTAAGTACATTTTCACCCCATTGAACTTCACTGGCTCTTCAAGTCTCTTTATAACCCTACCTGTTTGCAGATAATATTACTTGTGTGAGAATGAAGGTGTAGATCTACCACTGCTGATTTCCCCAAAGGCTCAGGGAATGTACACTTTCTGGAGGCTGTGGTAGGAGGACCCACTTTTGCCTCTTTTCATCCAAAAGCTCCAGATTCCCTTCTCTTCATGAACAGTCCAGCTCAGTACATTTCAGCCTGAGCTTGTGAAAACTGAAGCCTGGGAGAAGGGAAGCCCGAGACCTCCTAGGTATTCAGAGCTATACTTTCCTTCTTTAGAAAAAGAAATTCTTCCACTGGTTCCGATTCTTTCTCATTCTGATGGGCTTATAAAATCAGTAATACCATTACTGATTACCATGAATTCTTTGTCATTAATTCTCTCAGGAACATCAACCATACTATTTGTATTATATTTTATCGATTTACCTGAGTCTGCTTCACTGAACTATAAAATACAAGGGTAGGAACTTTCTCTTATTTGAGTTTTGACTCAAATGTTATGAATTCCAAAACCTTTTATGACTGAGTGAAGGGATCTTGAGAGACCTGTAGTTTTCTATAGTTGAGCCCCTTATTAGTCCTTTAGCTTTAAAATGCTTCAGAGAAGTCAAGTAGTCAAGAACATACTGGAACAGTTTGCAGGTTTTGGTAATGACTGAGAAAATAGTTCCAGAAAGTGTTTGGAACAAAAGTCCAAGTGTAATGGATATGTGATGGATGAGTGAAACGTAAGCCAGTGGAGGCAGTGAATGTAAGCTACCTTTTCAAAGAAATTTGGTTGTAAAGGGAAGGAGAAGTATCTTGAGGGATGCCAGGGGACCAGAGGAGTTTTTTGTTTTTTAAAGTAGTGTGTTGTAGGCTGAGAGGAAAAAATTAGTAAAGAAGCGAGGATTAAAGATACAGAAAACCAAAAAACCAAACCCACTGCCATCGAGTCGATTCTGACTGATAGCAACCCTACAGGACAGAGTAGAACTGCCCCATAGGGTTTCCAAGGAGTGGCTGGTGGATTCGAACTGCCAACCTTTTGGTTAGCAGCCAAGCTCTTAACCAGTGTGCTACCGGGGCTCCAAAGATATAAAAAAAGAGTGATAACACCTGTCTCTGGTGTAAGGTTCCAGGAGATGGTTAGACATATTTTTAGGGGTTTAAAAATTCTTAGAGAAATTTAGAATTTTGTGCTATCCTTTAAATGATATTAATAAAAGTATATGAGCATATGCTCAATCTTTCAGGCAACCACGTTATAATTGAGCACTACTATAAGATTTCATGCCTGCAAATGAGAGCAGAGGTAGATATAATGTGTAAGTAGTATACCAAATGAAGATTTTGCATATTCAAATAGGTATAATGAAAGAATTGAGGCATCACATTGGAGTAAAGGTTTGTTGAACACACAAGAACCTGTGCCAGATCATATTTATACTGTGATTGTTGTTGTTGTTAGGTGCTGTGGAGTTAGTTCCAACTCATAGTAACCCTATTGTTTTAATTCAGCAATATATATATATATATATATATATATATATATATAAAATCACTTAGTTTTATGTTTGTAAATATTCCCCTCATATTCCCTTGACCAAAGCTAAATCATATAGCCACACTTAGCTTCAAGGGAGGCTGGGAGATGTACTGGTAGTTTTTAGTCAGAGTAACCGTGTGCTTAGCTAAAAGTCATGATGAGAGAGAAGGGAAGAATGGATATTGGGTGATAACTAGCAGTCTTTGCCACAGTGCAGGAATGTGAAATTGTACCTCTCTTACAATCCATTTGTCTATCACTCCTGTCACTAACATACTTCTCTCAGCCCGGGAACTCAGTCAAAGAACTAGAATTGTAGTTCTCAAGTAGAAATTATGGCCCTATTCTTGTTTGTCAAAGTAATACCATTTCAGTAATTTTATTTTCAAAGGAGACTTAAAAATGTTTGTTTTTTTAAAAATAGGTAATACAATATATTTTTTACACATAGTGAAAAGTTCAAATGAAATGTAGAATATAGAAAAAGTTTCCCTGATTAGTAGCCATCTAATTCCCTTCCTAGAGGCAACTAGTTACCAGTGTTTTGTGTATGTTCTTTGAGATAGTCTATAAACATTTAGAAACCTTTGTATGTATATATTTTCCCCATACAAATGATTGGTCACTAGCTGCATTGTTCCATATATTGCCTTTTTTTTTTTTTCCTGTAATACATGTCTTTGAAATCTTTTTGTCAGTACGTTTAGAGGTACCTTATTCTTTTTAAAATGTCGAACAACCCTTGCATTCCTGGAATCAACCCCACTAGGTCTTGAAATATTGTTCTTTTGTTATATTATTAGATTTTATTAGCTAAAAAAAATTTTTTTTAAAGAATTTTTGCATTTATACTTTTTGGATATACTGGTCTGTGGTTTTCATTTCTTGCAATATCATTGCATTGTTTTGGTGTCAGTAAAGATCATTTCATAAAATGTGTTAGGATTCATCCTCTTTATCTGGAAGAAATTTTGTAGAATTGGTATTTTTTCATTATTGTTAGCTAGAATTCCTCAGCAAAGGTGTATTCAGTTTATCTTGTTCTTTTTGTGTGTGATTTAATAGTTTGTCCCATTCAAGAAATTTACTGTTTTATCTAAGTTGTTGAATTTATTGACATAAAGTTGTTTGAAATATTCCCTTAGTATTCTTTTTAGTATCTGTGATGGTTAAGACTGTATGTCAACTTGGCTAGGCCATTAT